TAAAAATGTGGCTGCGTCAGGTAGTTTTACAGCATATGAGGGAGGAAATTTAAAGCCTATTTAAGTATTTTATGAAAATAATTATGGTACTGCTAGTCCCTATACATCACCATTTCAATCCTTAAATGAGCTTTGATGGAATACGTTTATTCCCTGACAAGGGAAAAGAAAACAGGAAAATACAGAGAGGTTACAAGATGTTCTTTTCTTAAACAATTCGACAATGTTAGAGGTTAACGATACTAATTATGACTGTGCAAAATGGTTTTTTTCACATTTTGAAATGTTTGCTTTTTCGGCTTGTTTTTTTTCAGTTCAGAACCCTCTTTACACTGCATACTATAAAGAGCTCTGTTTCCATGATATTTTTATGGAGTTAAAGTGATATGCCCTTAGATAAAAAATGAAATAAATTGAAATCTAAAGCTTATTACTCAATTTGTCATCAATTCAAGCATATCATACATTTCATTGGTGAATTAATTGAACACTTTATTTGCATGTATTTCTCCCATTTGAGTAAGCAACAATGATTTCACTTCACCAGCATTTTGTTGTCTTTGAATATTTTTTTCCTGGGGATATATGGCAGGTACCCTATGTTGAAAAATAAATAAATAAACTCTATATTTATATCTTTGTATTATATAATTTACTCCAAAAGGTCCAAAAACATTTTTCATTGGTGTATATGGGGTCCTTAGTATATTTATTCTACTCAATCTCATGAAATTCCTCTTAATAATGAAATTATAGAATGTAAATGTTTATTTAAAGACCTAGCTATAAAAATGAAATAATAAATCAAAGCTATTCACTCTTGTTCAGGGGTATATGATTATAAAGTAGTGAGGACAGATGGACACTTTCGAGACCAAAAGAGTGTTTGACACTACTTAGATGAAAACTTGTAGATGAATTAGTGGGTATAACCTTAGCGATGGTCAGTTTTCGGTAATAAAGAACGTCAGTGATTGGATGGATTAATTATTAGTTATAGCCGTGTCAATTAAAGTTAAATGTCTGGTAAGTAATAAGTATTCAATTAAAAAGATAAGTAAGTTAGGAAGAAAAAGAAAAAATATCATTTAGATTTAGTAGTGTCTGTAAAAGCTCTAACCAAGCTCTTTCTTTCTATTTAATATCATGAGTTTTCCCGGGCCGTATGCATTGAACCAAGTGAAGAGTAACCGATTTCCCAAATTGTTATCATATTTACGCTCGCATTATTTTCCACATTTAACGAAGTTAATAAAATATATTATATTTTATTAACTTCGTTAAATGTAGAGGAAAAAATGCGAGTGAAGTTTAAAAAAATGTATTTTATTTACTTCATTAAATATGGAAAAAATAATGCGAGTATTGAGCTAGTATCCGAATTCTCCACCAATTATAACCGCCCGTTTTATTGTTGTTTTTTTTTTTTTTTTTTTTATGAAAGTCAAAAGCGTAACCGGAATATTTCTGCAAATGTCTCGAACAACGATTCTACATTTTGCCCTAGTATGCAGGAATTCATATGTAGAGTAAACTTAACTTTGTTTGGGATGGGGGAAACAAAATAATATTTTTAATTTTGTAAAGGAACAGTTTTTGATTTTTTTTTTTTTTTTAGCTCAGAGCCAGGGAGTAAATTGAGCATTTCTGATCAACTTTTGTCCGTCCGTCTCTCGTCAGTAACTTTTCATTTTTGATTTCATCTCCAAAATTAATCAACCAATTTCAACCGAACTTACCATACATAGCATCTTTGGGTTGAGAGGAATCGAATTCATTCAAACGAAGAGCCAAGCTCTCTTTCAAAGATTATAAGTAAGGGATGTAGCAAAAATGGGGCGCTAAGTCATTGAAAAATCTTTCCTTAAGAATCATCGGGGCAGTGAAGTTTACAAAAAAAATTATGTGAAAGCATTTTTATTAATTGTAGATTTAATTTGTTGTTTAAATGATGGTCCATGGTACGATGGCCGACAGCGGCCGCCACTTTCCGATTAAGAATATTGTCATTTTGTACAGCGTTTTTGTCAATTTTCGTTGACATATTACAACTAAACTGGTAACGCTATATGTACATGTACACTTTTTACACTGACAATTTACACCAGCGAAAAACATTAAAATTCTTTCGTGTGATATGAAATTAAGATACATAAAACAGGTGGCTTGAAAGAGATAAGGAGCATTTTAATGATTTTCACCCTCAATTAGTCTGAGATATCGTAACCCAGTTACCGGTAATCCTAGATTAGACATATATCGTCATTCTGTCACCTTGTTGTATCATTAAAAAGATATTCTTGGGATTGTAATTAAAAAGGCGAATAAAAGTAATACGTTTGTTGTAATGGATATACATGAATATAATGGATATATCTCGATCCTCAAAGTGTATGAGACAACTCGATTCTACCTACCGGTCTTATGTAGAGGTAGAAAAACAGGATTTAGTAGCTCTACATGTGAACATCCAATCAAAAGTTTATGGAATGTATCAAAAACCAAACTTTAGATACGGAAATATGCCCGTTTTAAGCAAGAATAAAATGACAACCTTAAATGTTGGAGTCTGTGTTTGCTCTCTAAATACATAAAATTAATAACTAAATGCTTGAAACACTTTTAAAGGCCAACGCAACCTCTCAAGACTTCCACCTGGTCGGCCAATTATTTTTCAATGTGGCACGGGAATGAAAATATAGGTACATGTAACTAATGTGATCATTTCCTCGTGCGCATTGTGTAAAAAACAAAATTCATACATCAAAGACACGTCCGATTATAAACAAAATCAAATTTCTGATAGACCTGGAAAATTTCATCCTGGTTACCTATGATGTGACCAGCAGGTACACCAACATGGAATTTTATGAATTAATTACTATAATCTGTCGAGAAAGCATATCTAGAAGACAATACTAATCTGTAATCACCCCGACCTTGCTGTTCTGCTAGAACCTTAAGCTTATCACCTTCAAGTAACCTGTTTTATGTATCTTCATTTCATATTACAAGAAAGAATTTTAATGATTTTCTCCAGTGTAAATTGTCAGTGTAAAAACTGTATATGGACATATAGCATTACCAGTTTAGTTGTAATTTGTCAACGAAAATTGACAAAAAAGCTGTACAAAATGACAATATTCAGAATCAAAAGTGGCGGCCGCTGTCGGCCATCGTACCATGGGGAAGGATAGGGCAAAAATAGCTAATCAGGGGCCCGTTTTACAAAAGAACTTACGACTAAGACCAAACACGTAAGTTGATTATAAAATTTTGCAAAATTGATGATTCCGTTTAAAATTGCTAGCGTAAACATATCTTACTAAATTCCTTTAAAAAGAATAAAATCATTTTCAATATCATGTAAATTAAAAAGTTATAAGCAGAATTAAATTTTGGTCTTAGTCGTAAGTTTTTTTTTTTTTTTGTAAAACGGGCCCCAGAGTTTTACTTGGGAATATGTAGAGGAAAAAAAATGTTTCAAAATCTTTTTTCTGGAAGAAAGGTCATGATCGTCATACCGGTATTAATGGGAAGTGCAGATTCAATTTTGATTAAGTTATGGTCCCGAGGGTAGGTAGGTCACAATAGGGAATCGTTTTTACACGTTTTAGGGGGAAAAGTCTTTAAAATCTTTTTTTTTTTAATTTTATTAATATGCAAGCATCCCAATGTTGGTCAGAATCATTTTTTTTTCAGATCATGGATTAGTTAAAAGATTCAGTTTTACCCGGGAATACTTGTATACAGAAATATTTAAAATCCTTTTTGGAAGAAGCGTGGTCATACTAAATTATATTGATTGATATTTTTCCAGAGTTGGAAAGACTGTGCTCTAACCTGGACTCCCGCCACATACGGAGGATTTAGTTCCTTAATTATCCCCGAAAGTAAACTTTGGACACCTGATATCACTTTGTTTGAGAGGTGGGTTCCTTAAGCATAAAAAATTCATATGTTCATATATTAGTTTTAATCTTTAAACTTCGCGCTAAACAGCTAGTATATGATTTTCGTTCTTTTCTCTGCATTACTATGGATTTTCTCTAATCAGTGTACATAAGGGCGAGGATATGCCAGGTCGAAAGTCCTATAGGATTGCAGTTCATTCTGACGGATCTGCGTATTTCAACTTTCCAACAGTGGTGGAGATTACGTGCTCTGTAGATGTCACTTACTTCCCTTATGACACACAGAAATGTACCATCAAGTTAGGGTCTTGGACCTACCACGGTCAGGAGATTGACCTTGTTGCTAAAAAATCTACAGGTTAAACACTCTCTCCTTTAAGAGTTTAATATATTTTAAATATGACCAACTGATTGATGCTTGAAAATTTCATTTTATTCATTAATGTCAAACTTCTCTGGCTAAGGAGATGCCTGTGAATATGGCAAAAGGGTTCTATAACTTGTTTAAGCAATGAAATACTAAACTAATTGAAGAAAATTCATGATTCATTTCTGACCAAAATTTTAAGCTGCAAGACCCAGTACATGTGTGTTAATAACGTGGTAGAACTTTGCATATTAATATTTTTATTTTAAATTTTCAGGAGATTTATCTTCGTTTGTCGAAAGCAATGAGTGGGGAGTCGTCAGCTTCCGTAGCCAACGAAACGTGGCATACTATGGATGCTGTCCGGAACCGTACCCGGATATTACGTATACATTGACAATGAAACGGAAACCCAAGTTCTATGTACTGACAATTATATTTCCATGCACACTTGTGCTTGCTCTCGCCGCCTTGGGATTCATACTTCCGGCCGACTCTGGAGAAAAGGTTTCACTTGAAGTGACTGTCTTATTGTCACTATCCGTCTTTCTTCTTCTCGTTTCTGATAAGTTACCACCATCCGCAGAAACGTTTCCAATTATTGGTGGGTCAAATAATATAATCTCTTTAATGAATTTACACTGGTATCATAATCATTCATTTTTCACAAAAAAAGAATGATAATATGTATTAGATACTATAAATGTCCTATTTTTCAGGTGTCTACTTTTCGGTGTGTATGATCATTGTGTGTCTCTCATGCACATTTGCGGTCTGGGTGTTATATTTACATTTCCGTGGGGAATCGACTAGCCCGGTGCCCTCATGGGTCAGAAGATTGTTCCTTGGAAAACTCAGATTCATTCTCTGTCCGACAACAAAAGTTGGTTTTGTGGACAAAAAGCCAGGAATGGTAAGAAACAGGATGTGTTTGCATGCACCTCTAATTTTAATTTTAAATGATTTAAAATGTCTTATATATTATTATATATTCTTGCACCAGGAAAGACAATATTTAGTTGTGGTCAAAACGAAGCATACTGTAGTATTTGATTTATGATAATATTTTGTATGCTATAATAAAGTTTGATTGATTAGAAGTACTTTTCTTACAGGGCAAAAATAAAGACGATGTTAAGGTAGAAAATATAGATTCCTTGTCTGTATGTGATGGGAGCCAGGAGACAGGAACCCACGATGACATGGGCGCGGAGGAGCGGTTAGAGGAATGGCGAGCTCTGGCGCGAGTTTTGGATCGTCTCTTTTTTATCTTTTACATGGTTATTTCTCCAACAGTGACAATTGTTTTCTTTGGTATTTTAGTTAACCAGTGATTTAGGCTACATAATTATGGACTTGAGGATACATCGAAGCGTGATATAATAAGCAATTAATTAATACCTAACTTTATTTTTTCCATACCAGCTTCTGTCATCTGAATCGTTGATTGTCATGATATTTTTCCATCACTGTAGCTCTCTGGTTGAGAAATTTCGGACAGATAAACCTCTGGTTTATCTGTCCGAATTTTCTAAACCTGAGAGCTACAGTTCTGCAGCTAAAGAGAGCAGTGCTTCAATTATTGCGGGCATTAGTTGAATTATTGCTCTCTTCTCGCTTATCAATTCAAGTTTTGATATCATAAATTCATTTTAAGAGCAACAAGTCAATTATTTCTTGTATTCAGCAAATTACTTAATGCAATGAACAACTGCATTAATGCTATGAACAACTGAATTGATACGCATAGTAATTCGAGTTGAAGACACAATTATTTGAAGACATACTTAACTTAATTGTCGCACACATCAAATGAATAATGTCAATGTGAATAAAAGATTTATACAAGATTTTTTTTTACATAATATACTCGTACATAATACAAAAAGTATAATACAAAAAACACTTTTGTAGTTTTTAATGGTCAGGTAGACTTCTAAATAAAAGAAAAATAAATATGAGAAAAATACCTTATCTTTGTAATTAAATGTTTTTCAAAGACCAGAGAGATCAATATGAGGAGGAATGAGATGTGTTTATTAATAGTGCTCAAGCATTATTGCATTGCTTAGTTTACATGGTGACAAATGAGGCAAGTACAGGCAAGTAAATACCATGGTAGATCTACTTTAAAATTTGTAAAAGAGTACTAGGACTAATTAGTTTGTTGATTCCTGATCATCCTATTTCTTTTGCTTTTGGGCAACACAGCCTCACCTGTCGGTTTATTTTGTTTTATTTTATACTTGTATGGATCCTTTACCATGTTGTATTATACTCAGGTGACCATTAAAGCCCTTGGGCCTCTTGTTAAAGATTGCAATAATTTTGATAGTTTTAGCCCCATCCCTAAGACCCAAGGGAGACAGGGATCATGAAATTCATAATTTTGTTTCCCTTCACCCATAAATGCCACGTGACAGAAATGATTGAAATTGGTTTAGCAGTTCCAGAGAAGAATTTAAAACGTTCAAATAAAAACACAAGATGGAAGACGCACGACGACGGACAAAAACAGATAGCAATAGGTCACCTGAATCACTTGAGCCACCCCCTCCCCTCCTAGTTGAGTATCCCAAACTACCCCCTTCTCCTAGTTGAGTATCTTAAGCCACCCCCTCCTCCTAGGTAGCTCACCTGAGCCGAAGGCTCAAGTGAGCTTTTCTGATCAAAAAGTGCCCGGCGTCCGTCTGTCGTCTGTAAACTTTTCACATTTTCGACTTCTCAAGAACCACAGGGCCAATTTCAACCAAACTTGCCACAAAGCATCCTTGGGTGAAGGGGATTCAAGTTTGTTCACCACTCGGAGCTCCTCTGATGGCTCGTACCTCGCACACTAACCTCGGACGTCAGGTGTTCTACCATATTACTGATACAGTCATGTGATCCTTTTTGAAATTCATTTAAATGTTATACCTTTGAAATCTGAGTTACTTTGTGGCACGCCCAACACTATGTTTTTGCTTTCAAAGACTAATGACATAAGGATGTAAACAGGACCAATATACAAGGAAGAATTAGACAACTTTTTGAAGATCTATATGCAGAGCGAAATATGAAGAGAGTTACTTCACTCGGCACACCTCGGCCGATTCGTACCTCATCAAAGGTGACGGAATCAGCCGAGGTTTGCCGAATGAGAGATACTTGTAAGGCAGTTTCCGGCGGAGAAGTGTATCGATTTGATGCAGATTCAATGAAATTGAATACATAACAGATATGTAGGTGTTGAATACTCAGTATATTTAGACATAATTCCCATTTATTACTATTAGCATGTAAGGGTTGGATGAGTCTTAATTTATGACCTTGAATTTCGGTAAGAGTTATCTCCCTCTGTTTTTAATTAATAAAAAAATCCATTTTAAAAATCTTACCTGGTAAAAAAAAAATCATTTTCAATTGTCATTCTATTTCTAATGTGTTTTAGTGAATTTTTTCGCAACAGTATTTATTGATATTATTTGAATTTTTATTTTTAAAAAATTGCTCCATAGCCTTCAATGCATTCTTTGTCAAGTGCTGGGTGTAGTAAATCTTAAGAAAATTGAGAGAATTGGTTCTTGTCTATCAATGGGACCCTAAGGGAGAAACACCGTGCAAGTAGTTCCTTACCCATTCCCCATCTCTAGTTGAAAGAGAAAATTTAAGTACTATGTGATATACCCTCAGACAAAGCTGTCCAGTGAGTAAAAGGAAAACTTGTAAGAACCTGATCATACGCATTACATAGGAAATATCGATGAAATCTTCTTCTCAAGAACACCTAAGCCATTAATAGTCATATATATACAGAAGAAACCTTAGGTATTGTAGAATCAAGTTTGTTCAAATCATGACCCCCCACCACCCCCCAGTTGGGAGAGGACTATCTAATTTTTTTGGGAGAGGACTATCTAAGTTTTTCGAATTTGTGTCCAATCCCTTTGACACATTGTCAATAAAATATGTTCAAAACAAACAAACAAGACACCCCCCACCCCCCGGGGTTGGGGCACAACAGAGGGTCAAAGTTTTGCAAAAGAATATATAGGAATCATCTTGAAAAAATCTGCTGCTCAAGAACAGCAAAGCCATGATTAGTTTTATTATTATAGGAGCATCCACGGGTAGTGTAGATTCAAATTTGTTCAAATTTACGGTGGGTAGGGTGGGGCCACAATGACCAATCAGAGTTTTACAAAAATCTTTAAAATCCTTCTGTTTAAGAACAGCAAAGCCATGATTAGCAATATTGATATAGAAGCATCCTGAGGTAGTGTAAATTTAAGTTTGCCCCCCCCCCTTAGAACTTTTAATATACTGAACCGATTTCTGCTTCTTCCTAGCCAGTGTGCTCAGGTGAGTGATGTGGCCCATGGGCCTCTTGTTGAGTATTCTAAATCACTCTCTTCTCCTTGTTGAGTATCTAAAGCATCTTGCACCTAGTTGAGTATCCAAGCCACCCTCTTCTCCTAGTTGTATATCCAAGACCAGTTGAGTTAGCAAACTCATCCCTTTTTCCTTATTGAGTATCCACCGCCATCTCTTCCTCCTCATTGAGTATCAAGTTACCCTCTCCTATTCACTGAGTATCCAAAGCAACCCCTAATCCGAATTGAGTATTCCAAACCACCTCCTCAACCTACTTCACTATCCCAAGCCACTCCCTCCTCCTAGTTGAGTATCAAATTACCCCCTCCTCTTTATTGAGTATCTAAAGCAACCCCTACTCCTAACTGAGTATTCCAAACCACCTCTTCACCCTAGTTTAGTATCCAAAGCCACTCCCTCCTCCCATTTCAGTATACCAAGTCTAACCATCCTTCAGTTCAGTATACCAAACCATTTCCTCCTACTAGTTGGGAATAATATATCACCTCCTCATTATTGAGTATCCTAAGCCAACCCATCTCTCAGTTGGGTATCCTACCATCTCTCCTCCTAGTTAGGTATCCTAAGCCATCCCTCCTCCTATTTGGGAATCCTAAGCCATCCCTCCTTCTAGTTGAATATCCTAAGCCACCCCTCCTCCCAATTAAGTATCCCAAGCCATTCCTCCTTCTAGTTGAGCATCCCAAGCCACCCCTTTCTCAAAGTTGAGTATCCCAAGCCACCCCCTCTCTGAGTATTCCAACCCATCCTCTCCTAGATGAGTATCCTAAACCACCCCTTCTACTAGTTCAGTATCCCAGGCCAACATGTCCTTTTTTTGAGTATCCCAAGCAGCTCCTTTCTCCTTGTTGAGTATCCCAAGCATCTCTTTCCTCCTAGCAGAGAATCTTGAGATATCCCCTTCTTCCTTGTTGAGTATTCCAAGCCATTCCTCCTAACTGAGTTTCCCAAAACACCCCCTGCTCCTTCAGTATCCCAAGTCACCCCCCTACTTCAGTATCCCAAGCCACCCCTCCTCCTAGTAGAGTATCCCAAGCCACCCCCTTTTGCTAGTTGATTATCCCAGGCTAATCTGTCTATTATTTCTCTTATTATCTCCCTTTTGATCAGGTCCATCAGACTGTATTGACACCCTGATGCATAAGTTAGGGATATCTGCCAAATATGGAAAACTACAATCTCTTAAACACTTGCACAACTGAGAGATTAAGCAGTCATATTCTGTCCACATCTTTTCCAAATGCATTAAAAAAAAGATATTGCAGAATGTAAATTGATATAAATTTTGGAAAAAGACTCTGTTTTTTTTTAAAAAAAGATTTACAATATTTATTGCACAGTGACATGTATTTTATAATAATCAATATACAGATGTACACCAATGTAGTACAAATAACAAGTTCTTTAAACATCAAATATTATGAATGTTTCTCATCTTGTCCTTCATCCACAGTGGCATTAATGGAGTTTATACTAGGTGGCGGTAGAATGTGGTCATCTCTGTAAAAAAATAAAGAAACAAAATTAGACATGTCATTTCAAAAAATATGATTAAATTACAAAACTTAAATTATAAAATTGGTATAAAATGAAGTTTTATTGCTTTCTTTCTAAAATAATTCATTAAAGAGTTAAATCCTGATTTTGATAGAAAGATATCAATCAAAAAGAAAACAAATCTTAATTTAGATGTAAAAAGTGTAAACAAAATTATTTGATATTTGAATTTAAAAAAAAATACACATGCATTTTGCAACAAAGAAATGGAATAATTTACAAACAACATCGTAAATATACACCACCAAGATATTTTTCACAACAATGGTCACATGTTACAACAATTACACTAACTTGCCAAAAATGGGCATGATTTTTTTTTTATATCAACTGCAAAATTATTAATTTTATCCCTGCATTAATACATGTATATGTTTAAAGTAGGAAATACTCCAGATTGGAATGACAAAAAAGATAGATTAAATATACATGTTTTACTTGTAGCACTTTATAAATCTAGCTTCTGCTTTTTTCATAACTGGAATTTTAAACCACATCAGCAGAAAAAGTAGGGACATATTTCTATATTAACATGAATTAGAATTAGAGAGGCAATCTTCAAAAGTTCTCAAATAAAATAATTGCAAAAATGATATAATTAAAGTGCACAATATATCATTATCATTTTTCAAAGACAACATATGGGTAACCCCCCTGTTTGAGCCTCATCAAAGCAGGAAATCTTAGAAGTCCAAATGAGGGGACAATGGTTCTTATCTATCATTTGATTTCTTATTGAGAAACAGGTGCGGATTCAAATTCCTAGTCTTGAATCTGGGTTAGATATGAAAGTGAGTTTAATAATTTACATGTAATTCTGTGGTGAATTTACTGGTTCAATTTAAACTTGTGTATATGATTATGAAGGCCTAAAAAAATTTTCAAAGAATCATTTATTTGTAGTATGAGTATCAAAGGCCTTAATCACTGTATCAGAATGCATTATACATTTATTAATTAGTGTCTAAAAGACCTGGTAGAGTCATTTATATGATCATTTGCTTTCTGTGTATGTTTACTTAAATACAAAATTCTGGTCAAGAAATCTCTTCTTGATTTTAAGGCAATAAAAGTTTGTAATTCAAACAAAATGGCTGGATTTTAACCAGAGGTAAATTTGAATCTAACAAAAGGCCAGACTTGTTAGATGCAACTCTCTTATACACAGTTACACAGCTTATCTTATTCACTTTTAAAGCTATTTTTTTTTATTTTAAACCATAAAGGGCCATGATTCAGTCAGTTATCAATGGAAGTCCATGCAAATGTTAAACTTCTATTAAAATGCTGAAACAGCAATATAAGACATGTTTATTGTTTAATTGTGCTCTTGTTTTACATACTTCACAAAATTAAATCACAATACCAAAGAGTGTGAAATGTATTAACATACCTAAAGAATTCAAAAGAAAAACTATCAAACCTGCAAACTAAATAAGGTAAGAGCTTTTATTTCAATTCCATGCAATTGTATTCACAAACTGTACTTTGGACTATTGTGAAACAAAAAGAAAAAAATAATAATTTCAGTTATTTCAAAGTAAATCTCTGTAAATTGAACTGGAACAATATTGTGGTTGGATTCATAGAGATCACAGCCAAAATGAGTTGAGAGAAGAAAACATTTCACATAAAAAAAATGGTAAAGCTCAGAAAAATGTAGAGTTACCATCACAACAAAAGACCTATACCATATTATGTAGGTTCACATTTACTGCTGTTCAGGATAGTAACAGTTACTTGTGCCTGCATGGGATTGAGGGGGACTTAATTCTTTATCACCCAGAGTGTGGAAACACTTCCTATGATGCACTTGTACCAAAATGAATATCTTTACAATATACAAAGGAAATTGAAAACATACCAAGGTTTTTCTTTAAAACATAAATGTTTATGCAGAATTAGCCAGAATTAGTTCTCGGTAAATAGTACAAGGTTTACTTGTGTCCTTATGAGAAAGTTATGGTCAAATAAAAATACAGTTGAACTTCAGTATCTTGAACATGGATATCTCGAAAACCATGGATATGTCGAAGTCATTTTGAACTCCCAAAGTTCTACTTATTCCTTAAGTATTTTACCCTGGATATCTCGAAGCCTCGGTTAGCTCGAAGTATTTTCTCAGTCCCTTCAAGTTCGAGATAATGAGGTTTGAATGTACATGTATTTTATAATCAAGCTAGGCCAACTAAATAGGAAATGGTTACTAGGTGAAATTGACAACTAACAAATCAATACACAGGTGGGATGGGCAACAACATGCACAACAACCATGCTGTCTTACAACTGGTTGTCAGATTTAGAGGTGGACATTTCTCTGGAGTTTCTAGACACAGATACTTCGATATCATCACGGGCAGCTTTATACATGCTAGACTGGGCCTTTCTCTGTTGTCTATCATAATCACAATTTTGATTAAAAATTTCAACCCTCAGAGAAAGAAATGCACTCCCTTACATCAATAAAACGTAGCTACAGTACACGTACCATTATTGAAGCTTATGACCAAATCATTCAGTTTTGAAAATACTAGGGTCAGTCATGTATTCTAGTATTTTTAATAATTTAGACTTAATTTTTTTAAATTATGCATAGATATAAAATTCTTATATTTCATATCTATCTTGAATTCTTAGACACATTACAAAAAATAGGATTTTCACTTACTTTCTGTCTTCTTCATAATCTATCTGTTGCTTCATAAAGATGGCATTCTTCAACAAGTCTTGAATGTTTTGGAAGTGGACACTGCTCTTGTGAAGACTTTTGACAGCACTAGTACAACCATAACAAAAATCATTAAGTCTTTATATACAAAAAATTTAAATACAATAGGTACTGACAAATAACTGGTAGTCAGTTTTGTACCAACCAACAATAAAACTGTTGTATACAGTGGAACCTCATTAAACCGGACACTAATAATCCAGACTCTTCACCTTCCAGATGAAATTTGTGAGGAACAATCTATATATATATATATATATATATATATATATATATAGATATAGATAAATATATATAGGGTGAATTCACCATGCATCGGACACCCTTGCATTTCAACAAGTTCTAGCAATAGCGCTACCAACCAAGTATTATCAAAATAGAACTTAACATGTAGTATGTGGTTAAAATATTAATTTTTGACACAATCGTGCACTATTTATTGAGGAAATATCATTAAAAACCGATTTTTTCGAAAGAAGTCAGGATTCACCATGGATCGGACAATATTCACCATGCATCGGACATACGATATTTAAACCAGAAAAATATCATACCTTGATCTCCTTGCTTTGAAATTAGTGATATCAAAACATTTTTATCTTTTATTTAAAAATTAACCATCTAATTAAATTTGAATGACTATTTCAATCCACAAATATGAAGAGATTTTAGTTGCATCACATCGCCTTAGAAAGGCTTTAGAATGCTAGTAATATGGCAACTCGCGCCTTTGTCTCGTCGGCTATAATCATCTAGTTTAAAGAAATAAATTGAGTCCACTTCTAGTCGTCATATATCAATAATTTGTATTTTCACTGAAAATTTAGAGTTTCTATTTTCTATTTCCGTAAAAAGCAGCTGTCATTTGGGTTTTACATGAAAATGGAAGTGATTACCCATGCATCGGAAAGTGTCCGATGCATGGTTAATTTGTGTCCGATGTTCGGTGAAATATAGTTAAAAACAACTTTAAAAAATATTATACAAACATTGAAGTAAAATTTTTGAAAAATTTCTGTAAAATTATCAATCATTGACAAATTTTACCAAGGTCCGACCCGTTCCGTTGACGTCTATTTAAAAGGATGACAACTCTAAAAATTGCAAAATCGTAAAATTCTGGTTACTCCCCTTTGATGATGCCAAATATGACGTAATTTCAAGGCCATTCTTGTGGTATTTTTATCACATGAAAATAAAAATCGGCATCATTAAAAAGTTTAAATCTTCACCTTTAAAGGTGCTTAGACACAGATTTGAAGTTAATATTTTTCAAATTTTCTGTATAATATCACAACTTATATATTGCAATAGCATTTCACACGAAAATATAATTAAAAACTTATTTTATCTGGAAATTATTGGAACTACGAATTCCTGGACGCGTTTGATTAACACATCCTTGCACTTCCACAAACTTTATCTTTATCCTTAATATTTAAGAAAAGAAGCGATTTTGTTGTGTATTAATGAAAAACATTACATCTATAATCCAGAAAATTCAGAGTAGAAATGTGCGAAAGCAAACCCCCTCACTAATATCGTCAGCCCGTGCTCAGAGTTGTGTACAGAGTTTAACAAATTGAATACACCCGTGAAACGTAAACTGTTTTTGTAAACAGGGCACGAGCTCTGTTGTTGATAATGTTTACGATTCACCGGGTGTGTTCAATTGTTAAAGTCTGCACACACCACTGAGCACGGACTGACAATACTGTGAGTGGGTTTTGCTTTCGAACATTTCTACTCTGAATTTTCTGGATCATAGTTTTAATATTTTTCATTAATACACAACAAAATTGCCACTTTTCTTAAGTATTAAAGAATAAAATTAAAATTTATGAAAGTGCAAGGATGTGTCAATCAAACCCATCCAGTAATTTGAAGTTTCAATAACTTCAAGATGAAATAAGATTTTTATTATATTTTAGTATGAAATGCTATAGCAACATATAAGTCATGAAATTATACAGAAAATTGGAGAACATATTAACTTCAAATCTGTGTCCAAGCACCTTTAAGACAGAAACATGTAAAAACACAGGGAGACTCAGGTTCAAAAGTTTATTGCTTAAAGTTGTCCGAAGCAAGGTATGTGTCCGATCCATGGTTAACTCACCCTATATATATATATATATATATATATATATATATATATATATATATATATATATATATATATATATATATATATATATATATATATGTCTGTTAACTGTTAATCCAGACACTTCATTAAGGACAATTTGCATAGGTACACAAATATCCAGATTAATGAGACTTAACTGTACTAAAAACAGCAGAACCAACCATAAATACAAAAATTTCATTTAATGTTATATATTCTTACTGTGTGGCATATTCTGTGTCAAAACTTGCACCCTGAACCTCTTGTTGTGTCTCCAAAACTTCATGCTGTACAACAAATTTGATAAAAATCACAATTATTTGTGTATTTCCTTCATGCTAACAATGTTCAGAGTTACAAGTTGATCTTCCAGTACTTATTAAAGTCATGATATATTGCTTCTTTAGTGATGGCAGCATTGCTGTGTTCTATTTAGAAATGTTCAAATAAAATTTCAATCAAAACCAAACAAAATCTTATACCTTTTGTTCAACAAGCTGTGGGAGTGACTTTCTTACATGTTCCTGAATGCGGAAAAAAGCTAAGGATGGTTCATTGGCGACTATGTTCATACTCTCTGATATCTTTTCAGCAACTGAAAAAAAAATCATAGGACAAAATCATAAATCTGTTGGGTAAAAATAATTTCATTTCAGTTTTTCATCATCTGATTTTTTTCTAAAGGAAAGTAACAATTGCATGTTAACCTTTCTTAACTTTATGCTCCATCTCTTCATCTTGTGCTTCTCGAAATAAATTACTGGTAGTCATCATGTTGTATCGAATATCCCCTCCTGAAATTAATAAATTTACTTTATTTCAGGTCTTAAGAGCTAAATTTACATAATATGATTATCATGTCTTCTGATTTAAGTGGTAAATCTTGAGTGAGCTTCCATAACTGTGAGCACTCCTGGAGATTTGTGCAAAAAGATAACATCATCCTGCTTTAATAATTATAATGTAAGACCTCTCCCACAATACATTATTCTGTTCAATGGTACACATACCCCTCTCATCTGATTGCAATTTAAACATATATAATTATGTGCCAGTTCAATATGCAGGTCTACATGTGGGAAGACCCAAATATCATAATAAAGAGGTAAGTTTTTCACTAAAGGTATGCACGGAGTAGTATTTCACTAATCTTTCTTCTATTCACTGCTTCTTGGTTGGTGAGGAGAGTCACCCATAATAAAATAAAAACATCAGTTAACATTTTCCTATTTTTTGATTCCTCCTTTTTTTCTATTTTTATAACAGTTTATAATGAATAGGAATGAATGACTATATTAAGAAAGCAAATATTTCATGAAAAGCCCCGTGATATGATCCTTAATTTGTGTTCATCAACCTAACAATACAGATCTACTTTATGACTGTTCATTCTAAGATTTAACTGTATTACATTAACCTGAAGGGATCACCCCTTCGAAGGCTTTCCAGGCTTGCTGCATGCAGTTTAACCTGTCTGAAATGGAGGGAGACTCAACTGCATCATGAGAAAAGCTAGCTCAACTTCACTTCAGAGAAGCTTCATTCTGAAGCTTAGCATGGGTCCTCTCTGAGTGGGCTTGATCTCTACAGTAAAGGCAACCTATGCAGTCCACTGATACTTGGCTCCTAAACCAGGTCCAGCACAATCTCTTGATTAAGCTATATAGCTTGAAATAGCTATATAGCTTTATTAAGCTATTCAAATAGCTTGATAAAGCTATTTATATGCAGGTTTTCACAAAAATGTTATTTGTACAAAATAGACAAAAAGTCACAAGTATTTGACTATTCACATATGTAATATGGGTTATCAAATCAACAACCCAAATCAAAGATAGTTCTAACATTGCAGCATTTGAATACTTTTAAGCAAAAGATGAATTTCCATTGTTTGGGTAACTGTACACTACCTTGTGTGCGTTGAGGCATGGATAAGTATGATTGCTTCTCATTGAACTGAATTATTACCAATCAATTATCTTGTTGACCATAATAGGCCTCCTTTATAATTTCATTGAAGAAGTAACTGTATCAATTGCTTTATATAGCCCCAAAACTTTTAGAACTTTGAGTACAAAGTCTCTTAAGGAGACGCAATTTGATGAGTGATTTTTACATGCATTATTTTCATAAGAGTTCAAGGTTGAATATCATCACTGCAACAAGGTGCAACTTTTTGTGCATACTTGGAAAATAATACATGTGAGAAAAAAGTGTGATAAAATAGCTAAATCAAGCTATTCTGAATAGCTTAATTAAGCTATAAAGCTAAATCAAGCTATATAGCTTAAACAAGAGATTGTGCCAGACCTGTAAACAGGTAAATGGACACAAAGTCTTAGCCCTAGAGAATCCTGCAATAAGACACCAAACAAAAGGGTCATTACGCTAGCACCAATTTTGTATCATGAAGTGGTCACTTATCCAAAGACTATTCGGGCTCTCTGCAGCTCAATCTGCCTGAAAATTTCAGCAAAATGGAGGACCACATCTGTCATCAAGCATCAAAGCTAGCTCGCTAGCGGGACAGTTTTGAATTCCCTATATGCTGTCTATGGCACGCCAAATTCACAAAAATGAGCTAATCATAGTTTCACAGTTGATAAACTAGGTTTATCCATTGTAAACTATAGTTTACAAACCGTAAACTATAGTTAACGATGATAATCTATAATTCACATCTGTAAACTATAGTTTACACGATAATCTATGTTTCACAAGCGTAAACTATAATTAACACGGAAAACAATCATTTGCTACTGCAAAATATAGTTTATCTGATAAATATAGTTTCACGATTTGTAAACTATGATTTACAACTCTAAACTATACTTAACAAATGTAAATTATAGTTTAGGCTTTGTAAAGTATACTTTACAGACATACAAAGCGCCAAATTAACAAAAATGCGATAAACATAGTTTTACACTTGAGAAACACAGTTTAGGAACAGAATCTCTTATTTTGTGTATGGGAGATGCACAATTTTCTGTGAAACTAGATTTCACGACTCTAAACCACAGTTTATGATCAAAACTATAGTTAACAATAGTTTTTTTGTAAATTATAGATCGGCTAATCCTATAGTTACAGCATTATAAGATTTTGCTATGTAACGACAATTGTTGTTAAATATATATGCATGTATATTTCTTGTTGGCATTAAAAGTAAATGTTCTATTATTTTAAAGCAAATCTAGTTGGAAATAAAAACAAAAATGACAGGAAAATTATTGATTAAAATTTCATTTTTTTTTATTTAAAAGAGAAAAATAGAGACCGAAATGCGTGATCTGTCATTAATAAAATACATGTATATCTTATATTCATGGTCTGTAAATAAAGACATAACACAGTACGTGTAACATTGCAGGTGCGGAATTTATTTTTCAACAACCGAATTTTCTTCATACATAAATAAAAGTGGCCTTTTACGGAACAAACACAACAAATATTTGGGACTTCTCTCTCATTCTCTCTTTCTTAAATTCAAAGGAGGACGTTGAAACCCCCACAACCCTATCTATATCCGCCACTGCATTTCCTCTCTTTCAGTTTATTTGTTTTGGTGATGAGATGTGGCGGGAAAATGCTTGGCAAATTGTAAAACGCGCTTCACCTTCCTCTGCTTGAGCAAAAATCTCGTAATATTCTGTCTTTTAAAAAAATTAAAATTTTATCATATTTTTAAAAATTTCCTATAGGAAATGTATATATACACAACATTTTAAAACAAATGCAATTAATCCTGTTTAAATAGAGAAAGTAATATTGATTATATATAACTCGGTCTTTGCTTTAGATAATGCCCAACACGTGTCCTCCGCACTGATAAAACCTATGCCCAATTATTGCTTCTCGCGATTGGTGCCGCGAAATTTCGAATTGAAAACTATCGTTAACAGTTAACAGGTGTTTAGATTCATAAACTATATTTAACAACTCTTAACTATAGTTTACGAGTGTGAATTATAGTTTATGACTATAAACTATGATTGGCAAATGTGAATCATAGTTTAGCTCTCAAAACTATAGTTTACGATCGATAAGTATAGTTTACATCTGTTAAATATAGTTTGTGAGTATAAATGACAGTTAACTATAGTTTACAACTGAAATCTATGGTTAACAAATGTAAAACATATTTTATCTGATAAATATAGTTTCACGATTTGTAAAACTTTGATTAACAACTCTTAACTATGGTTAACGAATGCAAATTATAGTATACATATGAGAATCTATATTTATCAGCAAAATCTATTGTTAACGTTTATTTACAGCCAGATAAACATAGATTAGCATTCGTAAACTACACTATATACAACCGTTAAATATAGTTTTACAAATGCAAACTACAGTTAACAAATCGTTAACTATAGTTTACAGTTCGTAAACTATAGTTTACAATCGATAAACAGACTAGTTTATCAAATGTTAAACTGTTTATCTAATTTTTGTGAATTTGGCGTGCCATAGCTGTCAGTTACATTTATTTACCTTGCATCTTTCTGTCTGTTATGTATGTATAATTGATAGCATTATCCATTCGGAAACATATTGTTCATTGATCAATATTCATAATATCCAACCGGAAATGAAATATTGCTCACTAAATTACATAAAAAAGATCAAACGATTAAAATCCGAATTGATATTGGTATAACTAAATACAGTAACAAGTTGCTGTTCATGAGGGGTGAAATCAATAGTTCAACGTATGATTAAAAAACAAAAACAAAAAAACAAACAACAAAAACAAACAAAAAACCAACAAACAAACAAACAAAACAAAAACCAAAAAAAACAAAAAAAAACAACTAAATTCACAAAGTTTTCATTAAAAAACTAAATGTGATGAATGTTGATTCACACCTGATTATGAACTACTACTATGCATTAACATTGTAAATAACCTATTTCTTTTATTAATTGATAGAAAGAAATGTACTACAAGCATAGAATCTCACTTACAATACACACGCAATCCTGTGTAATTATAGATGTTGGACACCCCCCCCCCTCAAGGCCTAACTATCTTAACTTTCTTTTAAATCAGTCACTGTCATCGATCTATATATATATATATATATATATATATATATATATATATATATATATATATATATATATATATATATATATATATATATATATATCAATGTTCTCAACCCCCTCCTCCCTACTCCAGGCCCACCCCACCACCGCCATCAAAAAGAGGGGGTCGATAGAAGCACATACATATTGTTAAAGACCTGCCTTTTTATTCATGCCTTTGTATACCTATTTAATAAGAAATCATTAATATCTTATCAACTCTCCCATGGACGCCCTGTGCAATATAGTGATATCCAAATAGCTATGATTTTTTACGATAAGTTCGACTCTAATCGAACATGACTAATGATGACAGTTTCATTATTCATTATATACATTATATCATTTTAAGCATTGTACTCTCATTTTATTCGATAATCCGGTAATGAAATTTTAATATATAGTTGATTCATGCATTTATCTGGTATCCAATAAAACATCATGAAAAATATACTACTACGTACGAAAGCCTATTAGGATCAAACTACGGTAAAAAAAAAATTTAAAAGGCGTTATAACGCCTTTTGAAAAGGCGTTATAACGCGGAAAAAGGCACGCAAATAAAGGCGTAATTACGCCTTTCCAAAAGGCGTTATAACGCCTTTCCAAAAGGCGTTATTACGCCTTTCTAAAAGGCGTTATTACGCCTTTTAAAATGGCGTTATTACGCCTCTTTTTTTTCAATACATGACTTACTTAGCCCATGCACCCTGGGGGCTGATTATAATTAGATTTCTAGGAAAAAAGATTTTTAAATGTGTAAAATATTTTCAGTGTTAAACCAACTTAGTCCTTCTCTGATGCCAGACGCTTTTACCAAGGTGTATGGATTTCAGAAATTTTGTTGAAGGCTAATTGCTCATTATACCTATGCAAATACTTTGCCTGTTTTTTACCAAGAGGAGAGAAAAATATTTCAAATTTGACATGAATTTTTAATACGTGGCTAGCAAAGCCCAAAGCTGGTTCTGCCTATATCCTGGATTTTCAAAAGTAGAGTGTTGACTTCTCTTAATATGCATGCAAAATGCAAACAACTGCCTGCGAGATGTGCAGGAATATAGAAAATACTATAATTTATAATATAATTTATAATATTAAAACTATAATCTAAATATTGCATAAATAAAGATGGCTTTGGTTCAATCTTTCATATATTTACTATTTTAAAATAACGCCTTTCCATTTTTGGATACAACTCCTTTTCAAACAGGCCGGTAGTACGAATGTGAGTGGGGGGGGGGGGGTCCCCCACCCCACTTTTTGGGAGAATAGTCTTGCTATAGTTTAAATATAAAAAATCATTTATTGATTGCTTGGTCCCTTAACATTTTGTTGCAGTATGGTTAAACTCGGGCAAGTCATTGCATTTAAAAAAAGTTTTACCGAAAAATTAGAAAAAGTTTCCCCTCAAGTTTAGGCATTTTATTTTTTTCGGGGGGGGGGGGGGGGTCTTGTTTTTTTGTTTGCTTGTCAATTTTGTGGGACCCCTCCCCCCCCCCCCCACTTTAAAAGCACGGGCCTGTCAAAGACATAATAATGGCGTATTAATGCCTTTTAAAAAGGTGTAATAACGCCTCTTGAAAAGGCGTAATAACGCCTTTTGGAATGGCGTTATAACGCCTTTTGGAAAAGCGTAATAACGCCTTTTAGAAAGGCGTAATAACGCCTTTTGGAAAGGCGTAATAACGCCTTTTTTCGCGTTATAACGCCTTTTCAAAAGGCGTTATTACGCCTTTTTTCGCGTTATAACGCCTTTTCAAAAGGCGTTATAACGCCTTTTAAATTTTTTTTTACCGTAGTTTGATCCTAATAGGATTTCGTAACTACGTATAAGATACTGTTTATGATATTTTTTTTTACTAACCTATATACTTGAATATATTATTTTTTCAATTATATATTTATATATATATATATATATATATATATATATATATATATATATATATATATATATATATATATATATATATATATATATATATATATATATTACATTATTAAAAAAGATATATATCAAGATTCTTTTTTTTTGGGGGGGGGGGCGTATTTGGCATGTGCGGGTATCTTTTTTTAACCCCAGGCTCGGAAAAAAATATTCTCTTTAGAGAAATGGACAGGCTTTCGCCTACATCCAGGCGATGTAGGCGAAAGCCTGTCCACTTCTCTAAAGAGAATAGGAAAAAAAGACAGATAGACTATTAGTGCCTGTAATGTTATTTAACTTTATAGACATACATAATTATGTAATAAAACGAGATTGTGCGATTATGCTTGAATAGAACGATATTGGATTTAGCGATATATTGATAAAATACACTGTACATTCACC